TTAAAATACACCAAAGTAAGTACACCCCCTAGCTTTCTAGTCACCCATTCTGAAAGGTATGTAGTGAAGGTACTTTAACCTCACACTGAGACAAAGGTCCCTGTGATAGGTGATTTAACTTATAACCAAGCAGATTAAGTAAATTAACACGGGTCGCAAAGGTCACTGCAGAAGGCATATTAAGAAAATAGAGTCTACTTGAAATTCCACAGCGCACTGAGCCTTCCCTGAAGCCGAAGGGAGACATACCACTCGGGCAGAATATGTAATGTCGCCCTACAGAAGTGCTGAGGGGGCTACTGACATGGCCCAGAGGCCAGGCCAGAGTTAAGCATGCATTTAAAGCTTTGCAGTACTCCAACAACACTCACTTGATGACCTAACAAATGATCCAAATCATTTGCTAAAGATGCATTTTGACGTAACCTTAGGTTCATAAGGCCCTCGAAGTCTCAAATGAATCACGGGTGGAATCTCATTTTTTTTTGGCAGAAGGAAGCGAATAGATGCTTAAAGTTGTATTTATGCAGCATGCCAGATGGTGGGGGAGGGGGAGCGAAGAAAGGTTGTTACCAACGCGGAAATATACTTTTAAGCGCGTAAACAAGGCAAATGATTTCTCCAGTCCACTATATCGCGGCTATATGAGGGGTGCTTTGGGAGGATCAAAATGTGGGCAATACTGTCGGCCAAAGGCCGTAGTCGGCTTTTACGCTTGCAAAAGTAGGAGCATGAAATAAAGAAATAAGAGTTCTAGACCTTCACAACTAGAAGTAACTGTTCTAAATACTGATGGGAGGAATTCTACCTACAAAGCATGGCAGTGGTCAGTAGGACTTCTTGAGTTAAACTTGGCAAGTGCTTACTTTGTAGATTGTTGAACTCAAACGTCTGTCCAGCAATTTATTTTCCTGATGAAAATTGAGAGGTCAGATTAGGTCTCCTATCAGTTTAACAACTACCCTAGCAAATTTCCGAAGACATAAGGTGCGGCGTAGTTCATGTTCGCAGAGGCACTTTGAAAGTTACCGTGTTTAGGCATCTAAGGCCACTTTTGCACGCCGAAACCTTCTCTTAACTATCAAAGTGCATCCAGACCCCCACCCTTAAATCGGAAAGACAGGTACATATTAGGCGTCGGGGGGGACTAGAAATGTCTAGGTAACAGCCTATGACTGAACCAAAACAAAGTCAAACTTCCACGTTGCAAATGCCTCCTTTGTCCATTTAAAGCCTTTTAGCCTTCATTTCTGGCCAAATGTGCTTTAAGATCTGCTAGCATTTTTTTTCATTTTCTAGTCCTATTTGTGGTTTTTCCCTTCGCTAATGTCTTTGAAAAACGTGAGACATTCGCATTTTTATGGCTTAACCTTTTGTAGACTGTGCGTGTGCGTGGAATAGATGCGAACGGTAGCAAAACAACGCACAAAATGTGTTAGACAGTTGACGAGCGCTTCACAGCAAACTATCATGCAAGTTGGGGTTGGGCAAATATCAAAATATAAGGCCTTCCTACAAGGAAAAGGCTTCCAATGCTGCAGGTGGATCTCAATCACACTGACTGTTTTACAGAGACAAAGTCATCGCCTAGTAGTGGCATCAACACAAAAAGAGGTTTAGTGCCTTTAAATCGTAAAATACGTGAGTTCGGCTGAAGATTTTAGCTAACATTTCAAAAGGTCTTTAATATACGTGTTTGCATTTGTCAGGAGATTTTAAAATTTCTTGCATCGAATGATCTAGTGCCTGGTCACTCCCACCACATGAGTTATTCGCCTCTGTCCTACATGATGGTCAAAAACTTCCCATTCATTTTTCACTGACAGAAGGGATCGTTCAGTTGATCAGTTGCACAAGGCGCTATATTGATGGAAGCGAGGGACGATGGGGATGTGCTGCAGATGGGAGTATCTGCAACGACTCCTGCTACTATCACCTCGTCTCCTGCTCTGAAGGAATGCCACTAACAATTAATGCCACAGTAGCCGTGAACCATTTAAAAAATCTCGTTACAGATTTGTTAACGCCACCTGCATAAAGATGTTGATCAAGCAGACGCAATTCCTGCTCCAACTCTCTGCTAGCTGCATAGAACCCAGCTGTGTAAGTGGCTAGGCAGAAGTGAAGTGAGAACAGAGTGGCAAGGAAGAATAGATACGAAATCTTATCCCTTCGAAGCTATTTTGAACTCCATCCTGTTTTGCATGACTGCTTTTTAGTCAGTGTTCTTATGACTAGAGATGGCCCTAATATAGCCACCAAACAGAACAAGACTGCAAATCCAGAGAAAATACCAAGGGGGATCAGTTGAAGTTGCAGTCGGATACCTCCGCACTATCACGCGAATTCGGCGACTAGCTGGGTTGATTAGTGGGTGTTTTCCTTATAACGCCTACTTCGTTGTCAAGGCCGACTCAGGAGGTTGACCACGGGGAGTGCCAGGGTCAACGCTCCAGAAGGAGAGGGAAAGGACTGTGCAATACTTTGATTGTTTGTCTAACTCTTCGTTCTGGCTTCCTGAGCACTGAAGGCTCCGCCTTTGTGCTTCCTCTGGGTGGCATGGTAACCTGGGCAATGACAATGACCCCTTAGCCCTCCCTCATGGCATGTTATATATTATGGCCTAGTATAATGCCTTCTTTTGCCTTCAGGGAAGCCTTGGGGCGCTTCCTTGACGTCTCGCCAAAAATATGCGGAATATCATTTTATGAAAGAAATATCGCCCCCTTAGTACCTTTACCTTGGATGAACTCATCCAGCTGCCGTTAAAATAACTTAAATAGTGCCTCACTAGAAAAGAAAAAAAACAAAAGCAAAGCTGAGAATTTTTGACTTCAAAAGAAGTGTTATTTGTCAATCCATCTGCCATACACAGCTGTCACGAGTTGTCACTAGGAGCACATGCACAATAATAAATATAAATTCGCCTCCCATCCATAATGCTTTTAAATCTATTGTAGAGACCGCAATATAGTTTGTAATTACTCACGTCTTCATTTACTTTCTTACCTTGAAAATGCCATCACTCAGCTTGATGCAAAATTATGTACTGTTCACCACTCTGTGGCAAGACAAGTGAACTTCAAGGATGCCCACGGGAAGAAATCTTCATCAAAAAATCCTCTCAAATAAATTTTTTAAATTGTAGAATCCCGAAAGTTTTCACATTGCCAAAAACTATTCATTAAATATTTTATTTCTCAAATCACAGCACGATTGCATTTGACTGATATCTGGTGTAATACAGAGCCCACAACCTTTCCACCCCACCCCCAAACAACGCGCTGGAACTTACACCGAAGTGGAGAAAGCGCAATTATTTCACCACTTCATAATTACCTTTTATGAAGACAGGTAGAGGTGATCGGCCACCCAGTCGAGGGGCTCCTGACTTCAATTCAAGCGCAAACAAACATTGTTGTGCACATCCGCAATTAGGTCGTGGCTTTGCTATATAAACATACGTTTTAGCAGCGGATGAACACCGACGCCTGCTTGCAAAAACGCTTTAGATATCAGCTGACTTTACAAGGACTAAGATGGAAAAGGCACTTTACTCCAACTTTAGCTTTGAGCAGCTTGTTTGCACATCTATCGTCATCCTTCAGACCACCATCCCAGCATCGATACCGATTTTGGTGATAAGCAAAGTGCTCCGCTTGTCGCAGTTGCTTGGCTGGACGAATATAGAGGACTTACCTCCCACATTTAGTTGTAATGTTTAAAAAATGTCAGTGGAACCTATTCAAACTTGGAATTCTGACATTTAACGAGGCAATGTAGCAATATAAAGTCTGACAGTATTTGACAACACACGTGGTGGCAGAAGTGACTTCAGTAATACGACAAAAAGATAAAATTTAAGGTCACAGAAAAAAATTAGGCACAAATAGACGTTGTAAAATTCTTAATCTTATTTGCCTTACATTTTGATGGTTTCGAACAGACGTGACAGTCGATCTGTTGAATATCAGCGGATTAGGCATTAAGCTGAGGGATAGCTTGGTCAAGAATATCGTTAGGTTAAAAAGGAATCATAAAAACCATTCATTCAGCGCATATTCTTGGGGGGTTTATTTCTGTAAGCTCCAAATTTGAAATAAGTTATGCCTCTAGGAATCAAAAACACACTTAAGGCCAATGAAGTATCCTTACCTAGCTTATTTACGATCTAATTAGCCTAAACCTTAATTTGAACGATTGGAAGATCCACTAAACCAGTGACCTGATTAAACTTTTAAGAGAAAAAGTGCAGGCTTAGCAGCATCAGGCTCGATAAAACTTGCATGTGATTCAACAACTAGCACATTGACGCTTATCTTCTTAAAAGAAGGATTTTAAGACTGGTGAATGTCTCACAGAACAAAAAAACCTTTCTAACATCAGTTTTTGCTAGATTTTGTGAAAAGTAACTCTGATTTCGGTGACATATATTTTTCAAAGTGGAAGGCAGTGATCCTAAAGAATTCCTCCATCTCGTATCCTATTAGCTGGCTGCCCATGGCGGCTAACCAATAAGAGGGGGAGAGCTACCAAACCCGTGCCTCCTTTAAGGTCATTTATAACCCCCAATCACCAATGGCGCGAATGCCTTGTCAAGGTCGTCACGCCAGTGGATTTCAGTCAAACGATCCACTATCGAGGAATTTTAGCTGGCTTACCTGCTCCTCTGGTATGTTTCAATTTATTTTGTATTTTTCTAATTTAGCTTTAATTATTAGAGGAGCATTTTAAGCAGTGCTATTTTAGGATAGATAAGTATCCAAGAGAGCAAGTCTTGATGCTTGTTTACCCTTTTACCATGTCATTGTGATTTGCTTTCACCTTCACGATCGTCAAAATAAATCAGGGTGAGGATGTAAACATGTTTGAGGCTTCTGCAATTTAGCAAGTCTGTTTTTACTTCTATTTGAGGTTAAAATAGGGTAGGGTAACGCGTAATTTTCTCCATCCAAGCATGGCTCATTTTTAAATAACACGTCCTTACCACTTGTCATTAGTCACCTCAAAAACATGACCAAGTTAAAAGTTGGGGAAAAAATAATATGAGGTGGGATTTGGATTATTTTGGCATACATAAAATGCACATGAAATGGGTTTTTTCGTTCTCCTGGCTGATATTTTGGGAGGAAATCTGAAAAACATTCTGGTGGTAGTTGTTGTAGTGTGCTTAAGGACCAGGGATTTCTTGAACCTGATTGACACAGCGGGTCAACGTAGATTTTCTGTGAATCGTCTTTTGGCATCAAGAATATTTTCCTAAAATTTTCGGATAGATTAATCCTACCAGTTTAGGGCTTAGAGACTAGCAAGTTTTTTTACCAGGCTATATTTAGCTTGGTATGCTAATTGACTTCGTAATTATGACAACTGGTTGTTCGGTTGCTCGTTGTTATGGATTTTAATGTCTTTGTTTGTTTGAAACTAACCTCCCAAAAAATTTCCACCGTTTTTCATTTCCACACTTAATTTCGAAAAAAAGAGCAATTTTATTATGCTCTCTTTTATTTCTTCAAAATAAATATACCTGGTGAGATCATCGCAGCAGATGTTGCAGAATTTTGGGGAGGAACGGAGGAAACGAAATGGTTATCACTTACAGGACAAGTTATCCATATCATGAACCAGGATACCACTGAAAGTTTACAGGAAGCAACCGATATACAAGCTTTTTAAAGTATCCTTTGTACTCGCTCATTTACTCCTACCTTACAGAGCGCGACTAATAAGGCTATCCTCCAGAGAGGAGCCTAACTTTGAGACGTTGGACTAGATTTAGACATCAAGTCAAGGACGAGAAAGGCGGAGTGTGTGAAGAGGAGACATGTTTCCTATTCTTCCTCTCTCCTATTACCATTTTTGGCAACCAGACTGTCTGTTTGTGGGCTCGCTGGCCTGCGCCGAAATCGCCAAAAGTGGTGTGGAAAACCCGACAACTCCCTTTTCCTTGCCAAAAAAGACCTCGCAGAAATGTCATGTGTGCAAGTGAGAAAACGGGTGAATTTTCAAAATGTCATTTGAAATACCGATCAACATTAAACATTTCCCCTCCTCCCGGAAATTAGCACATAATCTTGCTACATTTTGACGTCTGTCAATAGCCAAGGGTTGATTCCTTTTGGTGAAATCGCAGATAACTTGGACATTCTCAATTTAAAGGAGGGCCTGGTATTTGGGTATTGTGGGGAAAATCGACACATCGTTTGCATAATTTATGCCGAACCAACAACACTGCCCATCTACTCTGCTGAAATGCCTGCACCGTAAACATTCGAAAGTTAGTAGTTTTAACAACTCATTACTTCAGCCTCAAAATTAACCACTTTAAAAACCAAAGGATACCTTTTACAGTTTAAATGTAAATAGTGATAATTGCCTGTACAATGACGGACTTTTTGAGACTTGAGGGACTCCTGTAATTTCTCAGCTGGAGAAGCAAGGACACCCAAACATGATAGTATAGGTGTTGGATTATCTAGCTGATCAGTTGCTTATTTAGGTACAATATGGAGATAGTCTCGAGTAAAACAAGTATTCCTTGTAATTTGAAGAGTATATACTTTTCCTGTATATACTGTGGTGGAGAAATTGGATCGGCGCCTTCCAAGCTTGTAATTTATGGGCAGCACTAACTGCAACTAGAAGATGAGACTCAGTTAAAGACTCTTTGCACACAGCTCAATCGCCTACTGACTGTCTCGAATAGCTAGTGGCGCCTATAGAAAAGAATTGAACAAATAAAGTCCAGAATGTAGTTGTTCAGACGTTGATAATAAAAGGGCGATACTACTATTCATTGAATAAGTCTATGACAGATCACTGCTAGAGCGTTGTTTATTTACAGGATTTGGTAATTTTCTGCGACCAAACCGTGTTCCTTAAAAAAAACTTTTCCTAACAGTTTTGAGATTTTTCAGAAATATGTTTCAGTGTTTAAGGATTTTACCATTTAAAACTGATCTCAAGACTTTGTGCCTACTTAAATGCGGCGATTCGCCTAAGTAGCATCGATTGTTTTGTTGTGCCTCTCCTACAAAAGGTGAATAGCACTGTATGAACGCAAGTGAGAAAGCAAGCAAGAGTGAGGTGGCAGGGATATCTATTGCCCTTCCACCACTTTCAACACTGCCAACGCTTCCACGACTACCGTCGACTGTTGAGAGTCCTTCACTCGCGCCTCCCCTAAACCAACCACCCAGCCTTCTCAATTGGACCTCCCTCCCCATGCACCTCTCCACGCCTCGGATGGTCTGTCTACGTGCGACTTCACAGTATGTAACACTAACTTTAATTACTAAGCATACATAGTTTACGATTCATTTTCTCGAAGACGATGTTGCTTATAATTAAGACTATGTAACTCTTTTTTTGCCCAAGTCGCATTTTTGTGGGTTGATTTAGTCTTTAAATCACTTTTCATTTGCAAAGGCAGTAAGGCATTTGAATGAAGGATTTTATGTCTCAAACAAACAAAGCCTCGAGCATTCTTTTTGAAAGTTCATTGAACTCTAGACAAATAGTAAGTCTGGAGAACTTCTCCTATTTCCATAGAGAATGCCTAAAGAATGGAAAGTTAGGATTTTGTCATTAACTTCAATTTTGTAACTTGTCCCATTGTTGTACGTCTACACAGAGGATCGGGAAAAGTGCGTGGTCAGAATGTGCCCTTTAACCAAATTTTTTCTCCCAATTTCACCAAGTGAATGCGCCTATTTTAGGGCCTAATAGTTAGCTGGGCTGATAGCAATGTATAAAATTTTAGCACAAAATTAAACAGGTTTAGACACAATTTAACTCTATATTCGTTTGCACCTCCTGAGCGGAGGCACCGTGAAATGCCATTCAGCTAGAGGCGGAGTGTACATTTCACCCTTCTCCTGGTGGTATTTTTTTCATTTAAATTGCTGCATAAAATATAAGTTAACTTTGATAATATTAGGTGTTTCGGTAGGTAAATTCCTTTTTTCGGGCATTGTGGTGAAGCAAAAGCCAAATTGTTATTCCCTTGATTATATGTATATTGCGATAAATGAAGGTGGTGTGGCAGACAAAAAATTACCGTATGCTTATTCACAATTGGCATAAAACAATGAGAAGGCAAAGTCACGCTTAGTTTTATTCTTTTTTTCACCAAGAGTACTTGAGTGATTGGGACTGGACGGTGGTTTTGCATGCGCACATGCACTCCCACACATAAACCGAGAGATAGAGAGAGCGAGAGAGAGGAGGATTTCCAGAAAAGAACATTATGTTTATCTGATTGTCCTCGTGGTATAAACAATGCCGATGGTGAAAATAAAAATTTCACAGTTTATCCGACCGATGAGGGTGATTAACAGTTCCTAGTGGACGTCGCCGCAGAAGGGGGAAGGGGGCGGTCTAACAAGCCTCCATGAGCTGACGAGGTTTCGGAGCTCTTTAACAGTCCATTCTGCATCAGCTAAGGGTAAAAAGTGTCTTTTGTGGATTACTTTGCAATTCACTGCAACGGTTGTCAAGTTTCTACAGTGACAATAATTTGAATGGGACAAAAACAAACAAATGCTTTTCCCGAATCGGGGCGAGTTATCGACAAGCAATTATGTTGTTCGGAGAAAATTGTTTATTCCCCTTAAAACCCTTTTACTTGGGAGCGAGCAAAATCAAGTAAACAAGCTGACCAACTGCTAGGACTTTTTAAATCTGAATTGTGTTGGTTTAAGGACTAAACGGCGGTTTTACGCAGAAAATATAGGAAGCACTAAGTCGCGGAGTTTAAAACCTATGGTTAACAATCGGTAAAAATGAGTTAATTTGTCGGAAAATCTGCGGTTTGTGGAACAAACCTGTGTTGCAACAACAAGGGCCTCAAAATGCCACATAATCTCTCTGACATTTGCGATGGCTAGGAATAGGGGATCTTTTTGTCTCTACAAATACACTGCAATTAGACTTCCTTCTTTGAGATCAAAAACACACCAATCATGAATACTTGTGCCTTAATTTTAGTCACGCAAATGGAGGATAGATAACTTGATTAATGAACAGTCTACCAGCATTTAAAATGATAAATTCCCGGCTAAAAAGAACTCACTTTTGAGGCTCGACATGTTGTAAAAAAATTGCCCTCCATATGGTTGGTTATGTTTTTTCTCAACCCCAACAATAGAGATTGCCTCTCAGTCACACAGACGCTTTATCCAATGACTTCCACTTCGGAGACTGGAGAGAGCAGCGGCCACCCCATCTTCATCCCAACATCGCCTGCTCATACCATGACTCCTATTCCTGGGAGTACACTCTATTCCTCGTCCCCCTCCTCGGGGTCGGTGTTCATGGGATCCGAGGGAAGCAAAGCCTCAACCGATGGTCGCCGAAAGAGACCAGCTTCCAATTTGATAACTTTACGGCGGAACAGTGAGTCAACGCCTTCACTTACTTTCTGATTCGACTTCAAAACCATTAATTTGCTTTATACTGAAGTATTTATTCTGCACTATAGCTGAAATAGTTAGTCCTGAGGCAGACTTCAATAGAACCTCCATTTACCTTAAAATTGGACGGCTTAGAACGTTTAACTCACTTTTTAACCATATTAACTCGCTCTTTTCACTAGGAGGCTGCTTTTTATTATAACAAACAATTTTTAAAGCAACAAGTCAAAAATCGTAGTGTCGACGTAACGGTCAAGTCGGGGTATCTCTCCTCCCCTTGAAACGGAGTTTTGTTCCACCTAGTGAAAATGCAAAAAAGTTGGGTTTTTGTACTTTCTAGTTGCACTTTATGTGCTGAATGGAATCTAGGATTTGCTTTAGGAATTATTTTCCCTGATGTTCCCAAGGTCTGCATTTTCCCAAAAACTACAATGCCTCTAACCGTAAAAATTCTAAGAAATGGATTTGCTTGTCTCATTTGATTTGTTAATCTTAAGACGTCTCTGGAAGCTGCTTTACTTCAGTGTTGCTGGCGGCAAGACGGTGCTGACGGAGTACTGCAGTGCTGGGGTTAGGGAGAGCCGAGAGATGGGGATGGCTAAATAACCTCAAGGGTAGTTATGACCGCGGGCACCGGATGCACTTTCCCTTAATTAATGCAGTCACGAAAGTATTGGCAAAATAGAAGGAAAGAAAAACACATATATCTTCAAAAGAATGTATCTGTGTCACCTTAGCTTTGCCCAAATAAGTTGTCAACCGTGAGTTGAATCTACGTGTATTTTTTTCACATTTTGCATTCTCCCCTAAAGATTCCCCATTCCCAGTGATTTTGCTGCCATCTTATACATTTGATGGGAGGATACTTTTCTTCAAGATATGAACTATTGTACCAAGCGCCCGCAGTTGACTTCGAAGGAAAAAATTATCCTGCCTGGTGCCTGATGTCACACGCAGAGTAGCGAAAGATGTACGGAAGCTGCTATTTCTTATTTTCCTGATAACTTTTATGTTTCTGCAAATAGTTTACACCCAGGAAAGCTTTTAGGCGTTGTTCAAGTTGTCATGTTCGCCGGGTTTGAGAACTTTTCATGATTCTGCGGTCGTAGCGTGATGTTTCAATATAGAGTGGCGGTAGTGGTAAGCGGCTACACCGATCTTTCTCGTCAACCTTTACACAGTGACGTATTGCCTTCTTTTCGGTTTGGAAGAAGAGGGAGAGAGTAAGCGAAGGAGCGAGAAAATTTGCACCTCCAACTTTGCGAAATGCCATTAGGGGGTGATACCACTTTTCTGTCTCTTTTTTCACCCGTTAATCGCGCCGTTTGGCAGCTAAAATTATCCCATATGATGGGGGCGGGGAGACAAGTTTACCGCTTATAGTCAAGGCATTCCCCTCCGTAGGGAGCCACAACATGACCGAATAAAAGAGGAGAAAGTGTGATAAGGAAGTTATTTATCCCTTCTACGCAGAACTAAGTAACTCTCTCAGGAAATATGAGCACATTATTTAGATATAGAGGCGTTTCAGCAGTCATCCGTTGAGAAAACGGTTGCTGCATACCAAATGCTGCTGCTGCCCTAGCAAATTAAACAACTTTTTTGGCAGGGATCTTGCAGTTTGAAAGAACTATGAAAATTCTTATGAGTTCACTACCACAGCTGACATTTGTTTGGTGTTTCTTTTTTCGCATCACATAGAAAGTATTGGGTAAAATACCCGTAAAAGCGACTCCAGACTGCCTCACAAACCCATGAAAGCATTAAAAGAGGCTGTTTTGTATTTGCATAACAAAAGCACGTCGTTATTTGTCGTATTGAGGGAGCTTTTACAGGATTTTACGACTTTCTCGTTTTACTTTTGGTGTACACTTAGATGGCTCCGACTTATCTACCTGTAAAGTACATGGCCAAACTATTTGAGAAGATGTATTTTTTTGAAGTCGAATCTCTTAGAAAAAATGGAATAAAGTTTGCTTTAAGGATTGCTGTGTAGGAAAGGATTTTTTTCTACAAGTTTTAAGCTTATGGTAAGTTTTCATGAGATAAACTATGAAAGGTGTGCACGCAACTGCAACACATCCCATTTTCCACTCCATGATTTATGAATCCATTATTTAGAAATTGTACTAAAAAATAAGGTTTTCGAATTTTATATCACCTGAAGACTCCCCTGGAGACGAAAGAAGGGATAATACTTAAGCAGAATATGAATTCTCGATGTGGAGAAGGGCTATAGAGCCAGTAACATGGCCCGAAGGCTAGGCCGCCCAGTAATGGCACAGTCGCAGAGCCTTAAGCTCCTACACACCCTAAACCAAGAGTTAAATAAACAATCAACGTATTACACAACCCCCTTCCCCCCTTTTGCGGGTCATCCCTGACCCTCCCCTTGTTCGATCACCCACGCCAGCCACCGTAACGTAGTGGGTGCCGTAGGGAGGACACACAAAAACAACCGCGCCACTCATCGAATTTGTATGCAACTGAGAAGATATCTGACTGTAATATAACTGATTCCTCTTGGCGGTTCCACTGGAACTGGAGTTTCGTCCTGTTTGAAAGTCGTATTGGAGAAAAATGAAATGTGCCGGCCATCTCGTGTGCCCATCGCTAGTCATAAGAACACCGATCTGAAAGCAGAATCATTTAATAAAGGTCGGAATTAAAAGTAGTTTCCTAGGGATAAGAATTCGCGTCTATTTTCTTCGTTTTCGCTTTACTGCTGCCCAGCCATCTATTTACCTGAGTTCTATCCAGCTAGTAGGGAGGTGGAGGGGTATCGCGTGTACGTTTAATTGACATCTTCATACAAGCATCGTAGACAGCTGCGTAACTAGCCTTTCCAGATGGTTTCCGAGTGGTGTGGCTTTAGCTGTTAGAGGTTTTCCTTCTGGACAGGAAACGGGGGTATTTACCGAAAGCAGACGTCATTTTCAACCTTCCTGTTGGAGTCGTCACAGATTCTCTCATTGGCGCCATATCCCCTTCTTCCGTCATATTATGGTTCAGCATTCAGGAATGGAAATCAAGGTAGTGGTCCCTTAGGATAGGATGCGTTTTTCGCTGCCACCAATGTGGCGCCCCGAGACTTCTCTGAAAATGAAGTTAATACTTGGGCAGAATTTGTATTGCCCAGGTGAAGAAGGGCTGTTGGTCTACTGGCGTGATTCCGAGGGTTATGCCGCCAAGCTGAAGCACAAACGCGGAGCCTTTAGCACCCTTTAAACCAGGACGAATAGTTAACCAAACAAAGTAATAAATTTTTACCTATTATTCTTAGTTTACGAATGTAATGTAGTCTGCAGAGTTTGGAAAGCATGTCAGATGGATAATGAATGAAGGTGGCTTCAAAGTAATTTACAACCCTGTCTCTGTCAGTAAAGGATTTTCATTTGCCTGGTAATTGATTCCCAACAGTTGTAATAAGAGGCAAGTATATGTCAATCACGCGCATTTTATTCTTTTTTCTCCAAATGCACTAACAATAGTGTCCGCATTGTTTGGTGAAAGCCCTATTTCCAAGCAATGTATACTACTGATTTCAATCTGAAGATAACAAGCTTTGTCACTGCCTGAAGATGTCCTCTTCCCATATGTTTAAGAATACTTTAAAAAATTCACTATTTCACGCTCTGATTTTCATGGGTGCATGACTTTAAATGGTGGAAGAGTTGAATTATCAGCACCAGCAAATCATGTATTAGTAATATGCATGCCTGAAGAACTTTCCTACGCAAAGATGAGGCACTACGTTTACCCTACACCGTCCATCATACCACAAAATACAACTTTGATGGCACAAAAACAAAAGAAAATCATTGAAAAAATACAAGTATTCTCCAATTTTTACTGAATGTTCCTTTTTTTTACTTTTCTTATACCTAAACTGGATTGTCTCTTCCGCGAAGCCGATTGGTGAGGAGATGAAGTCTAATGTTTGTCATCACGCAATCAGTCAACCCTTCGGACAATTTTAAATAGGCTTTTTATTCACTTAGTCATTTCATTGCCAAATTTTTTAAAAGGTGCATTCCGGTGGCACCGTATGTACATACATTGCAGTTGACTGCAATTGCAAGTAATTTTGCGGGGTGATTTGGATCCTTTCTAGAGAGCCGAGGGGTTTGCAATGTGGGTGCGCTGAGTGTGGAGGAGGCTGGGTCGGTAGCCTTGAGCCCCAGGGAGCAACGAGCCCTCCGGCGAAAGGAGAAATCCCGTCTCGCTGCAAAATTGCGACGAAACCAAGAGAGCAACATCCTCTTCTGCCTACTTCGAGCGTTGCCGGTCTCGCTGCCTGATACCGCCGTATCGGAGGGAAGCATCAAGACGACACCATCAAAGCTGAATTTGGAGAAATCTGGAGTCATTCGAATGGCTGGACAGACCCTCTTTCTCTATAACTCGCTTTCTCAAGGTGGGTTGTCTTCACGCCTTTGGAAAAGACTTGGCCGTAGTGAATTTCGACCCTAAAACTTCTTCATTAGTTCACAGTTTGCGTCTAAATATCCTTTGCCACGCAGATAATAAACATTTGACTTAACAAACGGTTAACTCTGGCCTATTTTGGAAGTGATTAACTTAAACAGCCCTCGGTAAATAATCATGCGGTCATTTGATTCTCCAATGTCTCCACCTTTATTTACATCTGTTTGCAATCACTAGTTTTTATTCCAGGTATAAATGGTGGTCCCCTACAGTTACATTAAAACTTGGCAAATGAAATGCCATATTTCATTTTGTTTGAGGGCCTATTCATGCAACTTTAGCTGCCACCAAGAAAAAATAAAACTTTTACCAAATAGGATGTTCGAAAAGCCAAAACAAAGGCTAATATCAACCGGATTCTTTCGCAAACTTTCCTTAACCCGTTATATTTGGGATTGATGGGATAAAAGTCGCAACCTCCTCTAAAGGTTGATTTATTCGTAACGAAGTCATGTGTCAAAATGACAGTGAAACGGACGTTTTACAAAGCAAATCGTTACTAAAATGCCCTACATGCACGTAAATTCCAGTCCTGTAATTTATGTGTTACTTTAGGTTATATCTTTTAAATAAATTAGTTTTTAATTATGCGGCAACGCATTGAGACTTCCCTGAAGACCTGAAGAAGGGTTGACACTAGGGCAGAATATGTACAATCGACGTATAGAAGGATTGAAAGGAAATACTGGCCTGGAGCCGAGGCCATGCCATCCGACGGAAGTGTAAAGACGGAGATCTGAGTGACAGCAAAACTGAAAAGAAGAGTGAAATAAAAAGTAAAAGTATTACATAGCTACCATCTTCTCATTTGAGCATGGTCTCCAGCGCTCCCTTTGTCAAACTTTTGCGTCAGCCATCAAAACATAGCCGGTGCTGTAAGAAAAACACCCTCGAACCATCCGCTCAGTTATCGGATTGGCGTGCAATAGAGAAGATATTTGACCGCACCATTGCTGATTCCTCTTTGCAATTCCACAGGATCTAAGGTTTCGTCATGTTTGAGAGCTGCATTGGGGGAAGTGAAAATGTGAAAGTCATCTCGTATGTTCATCGATAGTTGTGAGGACACTGGCATAAAAGTGGAGCCTGTAAATAATGGACAGTCTTAAAATAGAGTCGTGGAGATAAGGATTTGTTTCCGTTTCTCCTTGCCACGTTGCTCTCATTTCAGTGCTACCCAGCAATGTGCCCATCTGGGTTCTATCCGACTGGTAAAGAGGTAAAAAATGCATCACGTGTCTATTTAATTGGCGTCTTCATGCAGGCACCGTAAACAGCTCTGTAACCAACTTGTCTGGATGGTTCAGGTCTAGCGCCGCCTCAGTTGTTAATAGGATTCCTGCAGACCACGGAAACGTGGTGATTGCCGAAGATAGATGTCATTCACACCCCTTCTGTTAGGATTAGTTACAAATTCTTCCAATCACAGCACATACTCTTCTTCCGTCACATTAAGGTTTAGCACCCAGGAATGGAAATCAGGGTGATTGTCCTTTAGGGTCGGGTACGCTTTCCGCTGCCATCAATATAGAGTCCAAGACTTCTCTAAAGACGAAAGACGACGTGATGCAAGCGTGCAGGCTGCTGGCCTGACCCTGAGGCCATACTACTAGGCGGAAGTGCGGTTGCCTTGTCATTTAGTGCCCGCGAACCCCAAATGTAAAGTTCAACAAACAATCAAAATATTAAACCTTTAATTCTCCCATCTGTACTACTTCCGTTTTCATTCGTCAGCAATCATCTCTACCATGGCTCAAAACAATTAAATAAGGAGTAAAGAAGTTAATCCAAATTTTACTGTTTTACCAGTAACAAGAAGTCGAAAAAGACGCCTTTCTGAGCAAAAAACGTTACTTCAATAAGAAGGTGCGGCTTAATCGCAGCACTTTAGGACCCCAACTTCAAGCAAGGCTTGTGATGATCCTTACGCCAGTGCTATATCACTGGAAGTAATTTGGGGTTGTCTTTTTTTAGAAACACTAAACCCACTTTTGATGTTTGTCCAAATTTTACCAACAAGAGGAGGAAAGGCTATTGTGTTAATGCACCTTTGAATCATCAAAAACAATAAAGGGAAAGCTATTTTACGGCACCTTTCTTTTCCATAAAAGTAACTTGGTGCGCTGCATCACCGCCGAAAACATGTGATGCCAGCAAACAAAAAGTGGTAACGGGAATATCAAGTGAAGAGGAACTAAAACCTGTTTCAGTTCATGTGTGTATGTGTGTTGAATTTTAAGGAGCATTAACTATTCCAACCTTATGCTTCCTGAATTTTTATCTACTTGACTTAGACGTGTACAAAATTTGCACGCAGTAATTGCTGCAATAAAGTCCGAGAAACTGTTGACTTAGTTTTTACCTTCGCACAACCATTTGATGCTATGTAATGCGTTGTTTGTTTAACTCTCAGTTTTGGCAACGGGACACTTAGGGGCTCCACCGGGCTGCCTGTCCTCAAGATCATGAGAGTAGTCCCAAGCCCTACTGTACGTTGACAATATATTTCCAGCCTTAGTGTCATGTTTTCTTTTATCTTCAAGGAAGTCTCGGGACGCTACAGTTATATGTGAAGCTCTTCATACCCCTCTCCTCTCCATATTTGTCTACTATTCACCATGAAATATTTGTCATGATTTTTCGATGGAAATTAGCTAGCCAAGATTTGAGAAGTCTTTCCTGTCGTCGAAAGCAGGGTAAAGAACTTCTTTGACTTCAGAGGCCATTCCAACACAATACTACACTTTGCAACCCAGGTTCAAGTCACCGATTGAATCGATTTGGGTTGAACCATTTGATGATCCTTTTCAGGACGTAGTTCGTCCGCCTTTGAAAGGCGGCATTAAAAAGCCCTCACTGTAGTCGGCAAACCTGAAGGTTTTTGATGGGGTAGAATTCTGCACCCAAACATGGAAAATTAACGGGATAGTGGGAAATCTAATCGGCCGTGTAAAGTAGACATGATCTGGAACATGATTTAGCCCTACCGATAAAGTCATTCGAGGTGAATCTCCAATTAAAATAGGATTCAACTGGGCATATTAATATGTTACCAAGGTGTTACTTTCCGTAGTTAGGATTGGAAGAAGAAGTTTCTTTTTGGATAAAAGCAACTTTTTCCGTCCTTTTTAAGTCCTAGGAACCAAAGCAGTGCCGTTCATCAGTCTCCTCAGCAAATCTCTCCACGGTCTCCTCGTTCACCCGACGGATTCTACGGTGGTCTATGCGACACCACCTCTGGCAGAGGCTATTAACTGGCCCTGGGTAGGTCGTGTGTTTATTTCAGGTCAGGCTCTGTGTCATGGCCTTGGGGACAAATCTTGAGGGAAGGTTTTCGCTGTAGAAGGCAAATTTATATGCACCTACTGCCGGGGGGGGGGGGAGGAATTTTCAGCGCATTTTGGAGAAGGGAAAAGGGAGAGAGGCAAAGCAAGAAAGAGGCTGAATTCCCATAAAGCTAAGAATAGAGTTTAAAATAGTGGAAGGAATCTAAGCAGCCTAATTTTTGTCTACTTGCGTCTTTTATGTGTATGCAGTGCCAGAAATTCCTATTTTAATATCGCTTCTTCTAGTCACTTCTATTACTGTACTTTTTTACCCCCTAAATTTCATAAAAGAAGAGTTTTTAGTATTGCAATTAATTTTAAGCCATTTTTACAATTATGTAGGTTTTTTGTTAATAAGCATGTGAATAAGGCGAGAATCATACATCCGTAATGAGCTTTGTCGGTGAATATCCCGCAACACAAAAATATGTTGTTTTTTTCTTTCCGTAGAAGTACTTTACATCACCTTCCTTCAGATAGGGTCGGAGTAAGTGTAAGGATAGGGAAGCTAGGGAGGCAAATATTATTCAAGTAGTATCACACCGGAGCAAAAGCTGAAAATTTATTCACTTTGGGTGAATTTTCCCCATTTTAGTGCATTCAAAGCAAACTATAGCGTCTCGGCGTCTTATTGAAGTCGTCAAAGCCCAAAGTAGTTGGGAAAGGCAACTAGTAAGACCTAAGAGGCCACCGTCACTGCCCAAAGGCCATTCCGGAGAGCGATAGTAAAACCTGTAAGAATTGAAATGCCAGGGTGGCCGAATACATGGATAAATCGTCTACTAACTAAAAACCACGTTTTGAGCTCAAATTAGTTTAATTTGTCTTTATCGCAGTCATTAAATATTCTCATGACTATTTCATTTTCTCTCCTTGCTTTTAAACGGTATAAACATTGAATTATCTCAAATAAATCGTCAGACATGGATGGAATTATTAAGGAAGGGTGATTTTGTTGATCTAGGGGTATTGCTAATGAGGCATCATTCAAGTCATTCTGCTTTATTCCCTAAAATAGAGCAAGATCTATTCCTAAGGCTACCAGCTTTTCACCAGTGATTGCATCATATCCCCAAATTTTAAAGCGCTCTAGAAGTTAAAACCGGAGGAGGCTCATGCTCAATGATGAGGTGCTTTTTTGAGAGTGGCATTTCTGAGATGTCTCATTTTTTTCCCTCTCATTCTCCTTCCTTTTCGAACAGATCAATCTCATTGGAGTGAAATTGGAGAGCCTGACAGACGAGGGCAAAATGCCAACTAGGGCTGGTGAGACGGTGAATCTACGAGTACTTGAGCAGACAAATTCACCCGCAAAGAGCTCCGTCCACAATCGTCCATCCACACTACTGCGTTCACCCTCTCACTCTCCGACCTCCACGCTCTCCGCCTCTACTTCGGGAGGGGATCAAACTTCACCCCTCTGGTCTCCGCACCTCTACAGAAGCAGTAAGAATGGAACGTCTGGAACGTTCACTGGGACGCACTTCTCAGCTTCTGCAAGTAGTAATAAGGCAGTTCCTTATCTTGTAAGTTGAAGAAGCTTCTACATCTCTTGAAGCAAGTTTAAACCCGGTTTCTTAAAAAGACAAGCTCAGCTGATACTGTATGAGATGAAGATAATGCTTCGAAGTCGAACGAAGGTAGTGGAGGATATAATAAAGAATATCGCATTGATAGACTGGCTTGAATGCGTGCCTATCATTAACGGGAAATAGCTTGCATCTCCCCACAGATCGCAACAAGCCAGCACAGCTAGGTTAATCGTATACCCCATGAACTTTTTGGTCACTTGATACATAAAGTTTCTTTTCAGCTAAGAACTGCGGGGCTTTAAATGTTGTAATTAAGGCTAATTGAAACTGGGCTTTGACAAGGAAGCCATTGAAGCTTATTTAATGTCTACGGTGACGTAGAATGAGGTGTTGGAAAGCGATTAGGTCATGTGGCTCCCCGAGACTGCCCTGAGGACTTGGGAAGAATATGTACCGCCAACGTAGAGAAGGGGTGGGGGTCCGAAGGCCATGCCACCTAGTAAAGGTAGGATTGCGGAGCCCCAAGTTCCCCCAGAATCCACAACGACGAGTCCAAATAATTCCCCTAACTTTGCTTGATGTAGCTTCTTAATTAAGGTGTACAGCCTGGTTTCTGTCAGGTATGTATTTTCCCCAAAAATACCAGCGTTTCCACACATTGTAAAGAAACCGATAATTTGGATTTTTTTTCCCAAAAATTGCACCACACCTCAGAACTCTGGCAATGAATCCGACGTAGGTGGCATTAAGTAATGTCGCACAGAAGTAAGCCCACTGGGACAGGGTGAGTGCTAAATGGACAATAAAACAGCTTCAAAATGGCGACCATAGCAGTTCCGTGACTGGATCAAATGACACAAAGCGATTGTAAAACGAAATGCCGGTGACTAGTGGTATAATTGAAAGTATCTGGTGGTTAATAACTTATTTTGAAAAGGAGAAAAGCGCTGGTTACCATATTTTTGCTTACAAGGTGGCAACATAAAGACATGCAAAAACGAGACTACTTTCTCCTGTTTGGAGAGATGACAAAGCTGTCACAAGAAAAGGGTAACTGTAAAACTGATTATTTGGATTTAGTGTGTCTCATTTAATCCAAATTCTCAACGTTGATAAATAAAGGGTCCTCATTTAGGCTAGGTGCGCAACAACACTTTTTGCAAGTAACTTAATTCCTCTGGAGAGACGAACACTTCCGGAATGGAATTCCATCCCTTTTTGTACTGGGGATTTCTATAAATGAACTGCTTTAGGAGTTAATGGAAGTGAAATTGCAGTCTGGACCAAAAAGCTGGGAAAGCGTTGAGGATTATTTTATTTATGCAACTAGTTTTGAAGTCTTAGTGAAGAGGAATGAGACCCCTGAACCGAGCTGCTAATCAAATGCAAGATAGGGTATCAGACCGTCCCAAGAGCAGGCATTTGATTGGTGGACTCGAAGGTCAGTGAGTTGCAATGGTGGCATACGAAAATCCGATTTCCTTAATTCAATTTTTAAATGCATGAAGCTTTTCCAGTGTAAAAATCTTATCAAGAAGTCTAACAATAATTCGTTTTTTATTAATCAGGCCAAAATTACTGTCAGATTTCATCTCATTAATGTGAAGTTATCTTGAAGGGCATTTGATTGGGCCCTGCTTAACATGATGTAAAAATCCGCAAAAAAAGATAAAAGGAAGTACTTTAAAGCCTCAACAAACCTAATGTAATACCTTAGTTGTTTGTTTAACTCTTCGTTTTGGTAGCGGGCCACTCAGGTCCCGATATGTTCACACCTGCCTGGCGGCCCGGCCTCCGGACCATGCCGTAGCCTCCAGCCCTCCTATAGGTCTTCAGCTCTTCCTTCATCTTCAAGGAAGTCTTGGGGTGGCACACAAACCGTGGGTTTTGAAAAATGCTACTTTTGTTTAGGTTAGGTAGCGTCTGACCACAAATTCTTACCTTTCATTTCACCTCAATGCAATGACTAGTTGCAATTTTAACAAGTTTTTTTTTTCTACCGCTTTCTAGATTTGTACATGTTTTGCTATACTTCGCGTGCCAATTACAAGGTCGGAAGATGGCAGACCCAGCGCAACGGCGGAATCCGCACCCCAGCCTGTCAACCACCTCAATCTCTACCTTCTCCAGCCCACTCCAAATCTCGGCTTACCCAAAGCCACAGCAGATTCTGCATCCCTCTTAACAGCATCACCACTTGGGAGGACTTCATCTACGACTCTGTCACAAATATCGACAATTTCATCCTCCCTTTCCTCTTCCTCCCCTTCTGCTTCCACTTCCTCCTCCTCCTCCTTCCATCGGAACAAAGAACGTTATCTTCAGAACCGTCTGAGACGCCTCCAGACGCAGAATCCGCCGCCTAAACCCCTTGAAGACGATTTTGTCTGTCCACGTGATTTCTTTTGCATTGTTCTGGATCGCAGTCTAGCTGTGAAGTGGGTGGAAAATAGGTTAGTCGGTTGATTGTCTGTTTGCTTTATTTCGCACCCTCTAACATTAGAGTGACTCAAAAAGTGGATAGCCGAAAATGGCTCTCAAGCCTAGGTGACAACGCCTTTTTTTGCCATCTTAGATTGGGGCTAGGGAAAACAACGCCCTGTTAGATATCAACATTTCGGTCCCGCCGAAAAGCAGTGTAATACAGGAAAGGCTAGTGGATAAGAGAAAGTGTTGTCCCAGCACATACTGTTATATCGTTTTCTTCTCTTATTTGCCTACTAGTAAATAAAAGATAATTATCTTTATTTATCTTATTTAGTGATCCCAATAAAACCAGCATTTTCTCTTCCATGATTAATCAATCTTTTCTGGACTTCATTGCCCTCCAAGATCTGGAGGCGGTGAGCAAATTACTCAATGAATGTAAGTGACATATTGCTTTTTATTTTGCCACCTCTACAAGGCACTGACATATCTGTTTATCCAGGTGTTCAACAAAAATTATCAATTTGGACACCCTCATATCGTTTAAGGATTCCTATTTCTCAATCAAACGGTAGTAGGCAGTCCAGTGGACCGTCTAAATTTATCTGGGTGAGAACGCTTTTCTCGAATACCTTCGATGCCAACATTAGATGTCTTCATCAGCCCATTGGGTAAGGCTTGAAATATTCGAAAGTAGTTTAAAGGACTGTTTCCTTTCCCTTTGATATGGTCGTCTTTCATTCCACTTTGTATCATCATACGCTGGGACCCTTGGTAACTCCACTTCCACTTATGGGTCTCCTTTGTTCCCGTGATGTAGAAATGCACAAACCGATGGCATTCAAGTCTGCCTTCATCAAAAAATAGCATCCACCTCAACCACGGGCACCTCCGAAAGCCGACATCATAATGGCAACTCGATGTCAACCGTTGTGGCCACTACACCTCAGGTTAAGCGACCAATCAGAGTACTTAAATTGCAGTCACACCATCAACCGTTGTCACAACAACCAGTGGCTGAGTCGACGCTACAGCCTCTTCGTGTCTCACCAAGTCTTCCGACAAATTCTGCTCCCTACCTGGCTCCATTGGCGGCTGCACCGACAAGGGACACACAAATTATTTATGAGGTAAATTTTTCCTGCAATCGATAATTGGCTCCTGCATTGATGGAGTGATTATCTGGGTTAAGTGATTCAATGCCTTATTATCTAAACACAAGTCCTAACCAAGGTACACTTGAACTGGCACAGGCGTAATGACGGTTGAAATACATTCTCATCTTGTAGTTGCGATAGGAAGGACTGGTGTATCTTATCGGATAAAATCAACTTTCCTGAACATATCATTTAAGGTTAGCTTGCTTGTTGACAAGCTTTCTAAAATTCTTCTCCAGTGAAAGCCCAAAAACAGTTGATATATCTTGACTCGTAGGGGATTTTATGTGAATGGTAGGAGGTGGCATACCTGTCTAATGTTGACAGGTGTGAAAATAAGTTCAAAAGTGTGTTTAAGAAACTACCACTTAGTGCAGCTGGTTTAGAGAGACAAGTTGTTTAAAAAATAAGCTCAACATAAGGTGGTAGCGAAATAAAGCAAAAAAACTTAAGCCGACAGAATTCTAGTATTAAAAATGGTAATAATTACTAAATTTAGCAAATCAACCTCTTTATAGTTGTTTAATGCATTCAATCTTTTTAATATAATCTTAATATATCCAATTTGCCTTGTTAAAAGTACCAATTAGTTTCTCAGATACTTTGGTTTGCGGGACAAGAGTTCATTATCAAAGTGTTAACGCACTCCTTCGTAAATCATTCAAACTGTTCACTGTCCTACGTGGGTCACTGTTGTAGCTCATGCGTATGCACTGGTTATGGTGTGACATGTGAGAGAGTGTTATTATTTTGTAGGCTTAAACGTCTGGAGATCAGATTTTCCTTTCGGTTTTCACAGTAGTTCTGGTTCTATTTTCCCATAAATATGGCCCGTTTATTTCAAAAAAGCGTTTGTTAAAGTTCCTCTTCTTCGAGTTTCTGTACAAGGAGGTGGGAGCGCAGTAGCTTATTGTGATTTGCCTGTGCACTCAAGGCCATCCAAGTATATGTGCGTTGCCGAAACCAATCAAATAGCTCTCACAATGGGGGTGATCAAGGGGAGGGCCCATTGACCGATAAAATCAATAAACTAAGATTTCTGGAGTTCGTTTTTTAGTTTAATTATAAATGCATCAGAATGTGACAAGGCCTGTCGTTTTTCAGCCCCCTGCCTGTTTGACACCACAGACGCTGGTGACGACTCCATGGGTCATCTATACTCGAAGTATCAGCGCTCCACAGGCAAGTTTGTCCAAAACAGTATCTCCCCTTTCACAGAATTCGTCTTTCAACTTCCTTCTACCAGGAGAGTGCAATGAGATCCCCCTTCAGCACTCCAACAAAATTCCCCGACTTAGCCCACCTCACACCATCGTAGAATCGTCTCAAATTGGTAGGAGTCATTAAAAACTTTTCTACAGTAAAGACGATTTTGCAGCCTCAAAACCAAACTTATTTCTAACTTTCGTGAACGTATAGAAAGGTGGCCGATGACGACTTCCTCCCCGGTACTGAATCTGCCCGACATGCTCCAGGAATTGGATCCGGAAACTCTGGCAATGCTGGAGGAGAACGAGGATGCAAAATCAGATTCTCTGCTAACAAGTCTCAGTTTTGATGACATTCTTTCCTCCATCAGTATCACACCGAGCAGTGGGGATGAACTAAATCAAGATAAACAGATATGCACAAGCGGGTCCTTTTGTTCCAGTGAATCCTCTCCTCCATCTCTACCGGAGAGTTTTGTCTCGTCCACTTCTTGTACCAGGAAGAATCAGCCTTCACAGCAACAACAGCAGTTGCTACAACAACGGGAAATGTCACTGTTCAGTGATGTTGAATTAGACACGGATATGCCCTCAGATACGGATGAGTTCTGGGATGCTCTTGTAACAAGTTAGTTGGCTTTTGAACGGTAAAACAGGCTTTAATGACAGTGAATTAATACAATATTCTGCTTCTCTCTTGGCTGTAGATGTGATGAATCTTCCATTAGATATAACCAACCTCCCAATGGATGTACGCTAGTCATTAGTCAGCAAAAGCAGCAGTAGTTACAGACCTCAACACCAGTGCAGTAGCTAGAGGAATGTTCTCTCACTTGTGTAGCTAGTCCAGTCATTCGCACTGTCAACACAGAGTTGATCACCAAGCGTGCCTTTCGCTTTTCTATGAGGTGGTCGATTAAATGCTGTCTCCTCTTTCTCCCTCTTGCCACCAGTCCTGCCAGTAGATTTGGGTAGATCTGTCCCCCTTTCTCTTAATTTTACTCACCCGCCCCCCTTCCCCCTACGTTCCCTCCATTCTCCTCTCCTTCTAACGCTCGCCCACCTACCAACTCACACACGCAGTTATGTGTAATTGAAGAGCACGGTGGCTATTTTATTTTTTTGTGGCACAAATATATTTTTATTCAAGGTGGTCTTCGATTCTGTTTTATCATCGTCACCATCTCTGTCAGATGTGTTTCTTGGTTTCGCCACGGCCGATGTTTACCTCAAGTGTAATCGGCGGTTAATCCAAGTGACCTCCATGTTCATTATGAACGTGTATGAAAAAGGTGCTTTAAAATCTTAACTTGGCAGCGCCGCGAATGACCTAATCAAGCGCTTTGTTTGGCCACCAAAAGGAGACAGGAAACGAAAGATGTGTAGCTACGCTTTTCGAACCAATATAGTACCAAAATTAATTGAGGTAAACGAAAAGACAAAGGGCGGAAGTGCTTTTGTGTATTTTTTTGTAGCCTTTCAAATTAAACTATGCTAATTTTCACGTTCAACTTATACTACTTAAGGATTCCAACAAGTAGTGTGGCAGGGGATCGACCGCTGATCGGTAAATCAATTTAACCTAGGGTGGATGAATAAAGAGTCTTAGTGGATAACTCAGGGAAGCGTGGATGAATAGATGAGGGGACGGTTAGCCGGGTGGGTACGGATGAGCGTCAGGTGGTTGCTGTGATACCACATTAGGTAGCAAAACCTACTCACCAGATGGGGGTGAATTACGTCCAGAGAGCCGCTCTTTTACCTTCATGGATGAAATAATTCGTGTAGGCCTACATCAACAGGCAGGGTGCTGTAGGCTAAGCAAATGGGTTACAAATATAATGCTTTAGGAGATGGCAATAAACTCGAAAGACCACCCTCAGGAAGGAAGTGTTGCCAACTGACTTGTGCTGAAAAGTGTTTTTTTTTTTAATTTTCAGCGCCAAGTGATCGGCAATAGCGCTGGCTATTTCCATGCATCTAAGGCGCCACGTCGTCCTAAAAAAGACTATACTTGATTGCTCTGTGTGGGTGAGTTTGTATGGAGGATCAGAGATGAAAACAATCCTACTTGAGATCTGCCTACTTGACACAACGATACACCCCAAAGGTGCGCAATAGGAATTTCTTCCCCGAAAAATAGCCAGTTACTAAGACA